GGGCGAAGAAAGGACGTCAAGCGGAGGTATTGTCTCCAATTCATCCGATTGCGGAGGGAACCGAGGATTACTGGGTGGCGGTGACGGTGGCCTGACATTGACTGTAAGCTCTGGCGCTGGTTCAGAGGAGGCCGCAGGTGGATCTTCGGCCCTTGGAGACGTCAACGGAGTGGATGGCGGAGTGTAGAAGGTAAGAGGTGGCGAGTCAAATGGATTATCTCGAGTTGAAGGCGACGCAGTGGGAGATAGAGAGAATGCACCCAAGAGTTGCGGAGGTGCCAAATTTATGTGCGACGGAGGCTCACTCGCCCTGGAGGTAGCTGGTTGCTGTAAATGGGACTGCGGCGATGCATCCTCGGTGGCATGATTGCTGTGTTGAAAGTCAACTAGAGACACTACATTACCCATGATTGCATAAGATATGGCGAGCCAGAGGAAAGAAGATGCAGAAAGACAAACTTGAGCAAAGGCTGGTTTAAAGGCCTTTAAGCTGGCAACCGCGCGACGAAGTGTGGGGGACACGAGGTCGGTGGGCTGGGTAAGGAAACCAGGTAAATGGGAGATGACGCAAGGCAGGAAGGCAGCAGTGAGTCTAGTTAGTTCTGGGATGAATTCATATTACAACGGAAACGGACGCATTACTGAGGAATAAGACTGATACCGTGAGCGATGTACTTCACGGTGAAAATTTTCAACTGAAGCAAGGGTTAATGTGGGCGCTGGGACAGGTTCCGAGGTGACGTGCAGGCCCTGGGGTAAGGACACGATGTGGGCACGCAGAGCGGAAGCGTAGCGGCAGCTGAGGAAAATGCTAATAAAAAAAGGTAAGAAGGAATAAAACAGACGAGTAAAGACCGGGACGGAGTCTGGGGAGTATACGCACGAAGGAGTTGTACAAAAACAGGTCGAAATAGGGTCGAAAGCCAAATTGGACGGAAAATGGGGATGATAGAGTGGGCAAGTCCAGATTCGGCTCAGTATTCTCTGTGATGTCATCGGTTATTATTGCGCACAAGGTACATCTTTGACGTCACAAGACGTGGTCAATTTTCCTTCTATTGACTTCTATGGACATTCCGCCCACATTTTATGTCACACGCTGCTTTGTATACCTCATTTTTCCTAAAAATTTCGTCCGAAACGCGAAATGTCCTCTACAGCTCTCCCCGAACAGCCTTGTCTAGGTTTTCCGCAAAATACCTGACATTCTTGCTGTTCAGCCCCGCCATCGATATCCTTCCGCTGCTCAGCAAATATATGTGTGCCTTGTCAATGAGCGCTTTCGCCTGATCCGGGTTGATACCTGTGTAACTGTTTTCCCTTCATCAGCCCAGCCCAGCCTCCCATGCGCTCCGTGCCGTGCCGGGGTATTTGCCCCACACTGTCGTGGCAGCCGATCTCTCACACCTCGCGGCATGCACGGCACCACTTATAAGCAGCAATCAACTCACCTGAACATGCCAATCTGGTTGATAATATGCTCCCAAGTCCCCGGGGTATGGAACTCCTCGGTCAGCAACCTGTAAAGCTCTTTGCGCATGGCAATGATGCGACCCGCCATGGTCTTGATATCGCGGTTCCATTCTTCGAACAAGTCACTGCCCGTAAGGATAAGGGCCACCTACAGGCCGAGGACATCAGTTTTATTAGGTATAAGGAGCCGGGGTATCTCACCAATCGTGCCCCATGGGACGGAGGGTTGCTAATCTCACTCCGCTGTAGCACCGAGAGCTGGCTCTTGACCCTATCGGCAGCATCCTTGGTTGGGGGAACAACGTGAAGGGCTCCCACGCGCTCGCCATATAACCCGGCGTTCTTCGCGAAACTCTGTAAAGGTTAACGCCGAAATGCTAGTTCCACGTCCATTTTGGGTGAGGAGACAGGACAACTCACCTGGCACACGAGTAGGGGGACGTTTTTCTCCACAAAGTACCTCACTGCCCAGGCGTCCTTGTTGAGGTCGCCGCTTGCGAAGCCCTGGTATGCACAATCGAAGAATACGTAGTGATTCTTCGCGATGACGACATCCGCAATCTGCTTCCACTGATCCGGTGTGGGATCAACTCCTGTTGGGTTATGGGCGCAAGCGTGGAGAAGGAATACGGAGCGGGGCGCGGCGCTTTCCAAAGTTCCGACGAAACCGCTGAAATCCAGCGCGATGGTCTTGGGATCGTAATATGGATAAGTCAGCGGCTCAATGCCGACATTCTTGAAAATCGCATGATGGTTTGCTATACCCGAGATTAGTCTCATACAGTGGAGGAAGAGCATATAGCTGACCCCAGGTGGGATCACTCAGGTATATCTGCTTTGGGCCGTCCCAGTGATAGAACTTGCTCAGGAACAAGGCTCCTAAGTGGTTTGCTCCTGTGCCGGAGATGGTCTGTACGCTGACCGCCCGGCTTTCGACAATGGCAGGTGAGTCGGAGCCGAGTATAAGTTTCGCGGCCGCGGCCGTAAACTCGGGCAGGCCAGTGATGGGAAGGTATTCATGATCAAGGTCTGGGTCATTCAAGAGAATTTTGGTGGCCTATAGCAACGAACATGAGTAAAAGAGCAGGGCTATGAAGACGCTTATATACACACCTTCTTAATGACGGGTAATACCCAGGGTTTACTGTCGTCATCTCTGTACGCTCCCACTCCGAGATTGACCTTCTGTGGATACGTGTCTGCCTTATATGCAGCGGTCAACTTAAAAATGCTGTCCACAGACAGAGCCGCGTAAGTGATTGGGAGTAGAGGCTCCAATCATGTCCGCAAACCTATCAGGAGGAGCAAGGGGAACATCCTGCCAAGTTTCTGTGGATATTGTTAGCACGCCTGTGATGGCATGATGACTTGGGCGCTCACCTGCAGACATTTCTTCTCTGGTGGAGTTTGACAGATGATTGTAAACTTGTTTGATTCTGGCAGTCATGGATGATTTGCGATAAGAAGCCGAAATAATCGAGTGGGGAGGTATCTGAGCAACTACACGGTGATTTAACGGTACCAGAGCAAACGTACCTCTGATTGTCGACCAAAGCGCATGTGATTTAGGCAAGTGAATAGCCGTTTCAGAAAGAGGTCACCGAGGACATGAAGCGTTGTACTTACGTCGTTGCGAGGAGGCAACAAGCGCTGGTGGGAGATGGGAAGGGTCACAGGCTGCGCTGGAGAGACCACAGTATCTATATATGAAGTGCTGCTGAACTATCGTGCACCGATTCAGATGATGGATAGCAGATAGAAAGCTGCCGATTCGAGTCATGCGGCGACAACAGGGCTCGGTAGGCTAGCCAACTGTCATGTCCGCACCTCCCCGATGTGACCCGCTCAAGATCCACTCTCCTCCGTGCTCTCTTCCGCACCGCGAAGAAAAGAACAGACTGCGTACATAGAAACCTTGGTGGAGTTTGAGCCAGGTTGACTCCTTTATAAAAGCATCGCAAGTCCTTACGTATAGGATACCCCACGGTATGGGCAATGTCATCACCGTGGTGACGTCGAACAATACAGACAGGTCACCGAGTTGACCAAAATATATCCTGTCATTATTATATTCGTTATGAAAACAAGGTCCTCTATTACAACGATACAAGAGCCCTGGCGGAGGGCGCAAACGTCCATTCCGCAGGTCTGGAACAATGGCGTAGTAGTAATGGTATCACGACTATGGGGTGGGAAAGAAAGGTGGCGAGGGGAAAGTGCAATGGATCATACTCCATTGGAGAATGTCTCGATAGATAATGGAATGCCGCAGAACGTGATAAGTGTGGTAGGATGGCGCCGGGATGGGGGAGGGGGAGGTGGGGAGGGCTAACACTGTCATGCAGTGGCCATCTTCGATGCCACAGTCCGTTCGCTCTCCAGTTTCGCCTTGTTCCGTTCAAAAGCTTGCTGCCGACAGTCTTCCAAGTTATTGCAGCTGTGATGTTCGGGCAGGCGGTGCTGCGCAGATCATAATGAATGAGATGTAGTCAAGACATGGACGGTGAAAAACTCACAGCTCCGCAGAATTCAGCTCGACAATGGGGACATTGGCCGACTATACGAAGAACAGCAGAGTTGCAGGGAGTCTCGCTCTGAAGCTGGCAACGTTTCTTGGCGGCCATTGGAGATGATAGCTGTACGTATAGGTTACGGATGTGAGGTGAACTAGTACGACGTCAGAAGGTGCAAGAGATATTGGGAAGTAGAGAGCTTACACAAGAGGCGAACGGACGTGCAAGTATGTGAGAGCGGGTGAAGATGGTGGTGGCACCGGAAGAAAGGCTTTATAAATCCAGCACAGCTCGGGGACGCGTCAGCCAGCCCAATCTCAGATCGTCCACGGTCGCCACGTGCTTGCTGGGGGAATTGCCGCTTATGGAGTGTGGCAGTGGGCATCGGCGACCCGAAATCCCCGGAAGCAGGAGTGCTTGATCCCTCGGCCATTGAGGCAGCAGAAAAATACCGTGGAGGTTCGTTGTAAGACCGCAGATGGCAGTTCTACGCGAAAGCACCGCCCATATACGCTGAACTCCCAGTGGTGTCTCGGAAGAGGGTGTCTTCGAGGTTACCGGCGTCGATAACCATCACTCGCCGCGAGGCACAGATGCATCAGGATGCATCATGCTTATAGTGCGTGCTAGCAGTTGTTCCGAGAGCATGTCGTCAAGCGCCTATGTGTTGCTCGCCGCTCACCTCACCATGTACATGGGAACGGCAGGAGGCATCCAGATACTAGGCCCGGTACACTCGCACTTTCTTTCCGGTGAGTTGCTCTCGGATGGTGGAGCGTAAGGCAAAGTATCTCACTGGCAGTGATATCGCTGAAGAAATAATAAAATATCGTCAGGATGAGTGGTGCACGATAGACACGACGTGGCGCTTGCTAATGCTACAAACAAGACAACTGCGAACACACGACCAGATAACCCACTTTGAGAAACTGTCTCAAGTATTAATGGTGCTCACTTTGAGTGAATCCAGTGACAAACTTGCATCATATGGGCACTAAAATCATTCCAAATATATCGGGTGTGGTGTAACGGTTAACATTGCTGTCTTTCAAGCAACTTGATTACCAAATCAGCTTGTGAGGCCACAGCGGCCCCGGGTTCGACTCCCGGCATCCGAATACTTTTTCCACATTGATGCAACATGCCATTTGTGCCTTGCCACCACATTCGCACCCACAGTCCCTTCCACAGCGTGCCATGATCAATATCAGCCAATCCCCGGGTAGTTGCATCCCGTTGGTATTTGGATGAGGAGCCACCTTTCCAATTCAACGGTCCTTGGTAGCGTGATGTCAGGCTAATGTCTCCTGCTTGACTTCAAAGTCCCAGGCCTCGCCAATTTCCAGGATTTCTCATTAATTTTCCCTGAGAGCCTGCTCCCAGGTGTTCCCTGGTTTGAGTGGGATGTCAGAGTTCCCCAGACTGACAGCTGGAAATCGGCACCCCTTCTTTCCGGCAGCTAAAGCACTGTACCGCAGTATACGACTGGTCCTGAACTCTGTTCAAAAGGTATCCTGACGCCCCCGCTGGTCCAAATGGACCTCCTTGGTATTACATGTATTGCCAGGTATTGCCTACCAGCCCGGAGAGCCCCCCTTGTCATGGTCAATGGCATACTTGGGTATTCCAATTTAGCAATCATGGAGTCACGTTACGACACCAATTTTGATTGACTCGACCGAGGACAACTGCATAACCCTTTTCATCTCATCTTCAACTATTCGCTATAATCATGGCCGATCAACCAACTAAACAAAAACTATGGGGAGGGAGGTTCACTGGAAAGACCGATCCTCTGTGCGCATTCCTTCTCTACTGTCATCCTTGTGTTCCACTGATCTCTCTCCAGAATGCATGCGTTTAATCAGTCCCTCAAATACGATCAGCGAATGCATGACGCTGATATCCGCGGATCCATAGCTTATGCAAAAGCCCTCACACTTGTTGGTATACTCACCGCAGACGAAGAGGATAAAATGATCCAGGGCCTAAAGTCCGTTGGGCAGGAATGGACAAACGGCCAGGTAGAATTAACTCGACCCATGATCAGTCACCGTGCTGATAATATTTTGCAGTTCCAACCCGCACCGGATGACGAGGACATACACACCGCGAATGAGCGTCGTTTGAGCGAATTGATCGGACCCCTCGGTGGAAAGCTGCACACCGGGCGCTCTCGCAATGATCAAGTCGCGACCGACATGCGACTCTGGCTCCTTGATGAAGTCGATGATATAGAAAAGAGCCTTAAGGGTCTGATTCGCGTCATGGTTGAACGAGCAGACAAGGAGAGGGACATACTGATGCCAGGTTACACCCATCTTCAGGTATGTGCCATATCGTTCAGGGAAGGCCTGTTCTCACGCGACCATCCAGCGAGGACAACCCATACGATGGTCGCACTTCCTCTTGTCGCACGCGTTCTCCTTCCGCAGTGATCTCGAACGACTGCAGCAGCTCATTCCTCGGGTCTCCGTTTTGCCGTTGGGTAGCGGTGCTCTTGCTGGGAACCCATTCGCTGTCGATCGGGAGTTCCTTGCTAAGGAACTTGGATTCTCGTCACTCGCTGAGAACAGCATGTGGGGAGTCGGCGATCGTGATTTCATCGTCGAGTTTTTGATGTGGGCCAGCCTTACGATGACACACATGAGTCGTCTTGCCGAAGATTTGATCATCTACTCTACAGCAGAGTTCGGTTTCGTCACACTCAGCGATGCTTATAGGTATGGTGCAGGTGGTTGGCGTGGAGCATATCTGATCCCCGACCTTGTAGCACTGGCTCGAGCATCATGCCACAAAAGAAGAATTCTGATTCACTAGAACTCTTGCGGGGAAAGTCTGGTCGCATCTTCGGAAACGTGGGTTCCGAACTGGGGTGCCTTTGCGTATCACTCATTCATCAGCTCACAGATGGCTGGATTCATGATGACCTTGAAAGGACTGCCGTCAACTTACAACAAGGATCTGCAAGAAGACAAGGAGCCCCTGTTTGACGCTGTGGACAACATTTCAGCCTCTCTTAAAATAGCAGAGGGCGTCGTAGCCACTCTGGAGGTATGTGCATGCAGAGGCCATCTCACCGGACAGACAGCTCATAACACGCCTAGGTCCATAGCGAAAAGATGCGTCAGGCATTGACCATGGACGTCCTTGCAACTGACCTGGCAGACTACCTCGTCCGTAAAGGGGTGAGTGTCTTTCTTTACGTTCTAAGAGACTTTCGTTGATACAGAGTCCAGGTCCCATTCCGGGAAACTCACCATGTCTCTGGGCGCGCAGTTGCATTGGCCGAATCTCGAAAATGCCAGTTAAATGAGCTGACTGTTCAAGACTTCCAGGGCTTGCATGCAAAATTCTCTGAGGATGTCCTCGAGGTCTTCGACTTTGAGGCCAGTGTTGAGAGGAGGACCGCCATTGGAGGACCAAGCCGACAGACACTTGACCGCCAGATATCCGTCTTGAGGGCGGCGTTATCTTAAAACTGACGCGCAGTCCGATAAATGCAAAATTGTGCATCCCCTGTGTCTATGGATAGAACATGTAGTAATGCAGTGTAGTTTTGCTGGAGAGGGGAAAGATATCTATACGCCCAAACCACGTACCTGTGCATCGTGTGGAACCAAGTGCGGCCTCACAAAACCGAACTCGGTGTTTGTTACAATTTGTTGAGTACCGCCCCTTTAGCGCACAATAGTCGTCGACCGACATCGCCCTCTGCGTCCCGGATTTTACACTTACGCTGTGGTCATTTATCCACCGCAGCACTTCATCTCACGCAGGCCAGTTTACAGCGCCGAGTATTTGAACGTCGGTTCTGTTTGTTCTCGTCTTGTTCTTCATTTGCACCACCACTACCACCACCTTGACAACACACCATGGATCGACTAGCTGCAATGAGGGTGAGTGTCAAAACTTTTTCAGTGCAGGATAATAACCTGACGAAACATTGAAGGCCCAACAGCAGGGCGGCAACTCGTGCGTATTGAGTGGCTCCCGCGGTTTCCTTCGCAGATTTCTGACGTTGTCTGAATGGTAGCAACTCGTACAGTCAGGTATCAGGAGGTTACCAGAGTAGCAGAGCAAACCCGTATTCTCAGCGAGACGACCATTCCTACGAGATGTCCGACGTCAAGGACAGCAGCACGAATCTGACCGGCGACATGAGCGACATGTCTGCCTTTTACTCTGAGGTGGGCATTGTCTGCTGTCGTTCTATCCAAACCGGCTCATATAAAGCATCGTCCAGATCTCTTCTATTCAAGACAGTCTTAAGACTTTCAATGCCAACGTCGCTCGCGTGGATGAGCTGCATTCTCGTTCCCTAAACAACACCGACGACGCTGCTGCGCAGCGGAATGCCTCTCAGCTAGAGGAGCTTGTGGAGGATACGAGCGCTCTTAGTGCTACCCTCAAGCGACGAATCAAGGCTTTGGAGAGGCAAGGTGGAAGTGGACGAGATGGTCAAATTCGCAAGCAACAGGTAATGCACACTATAATGAGCACCGTTACTGGCCTTTGACTGTTTTCAACCAGACCGCTTTAGTCAAGTCAAAGTTCGTCGACGCAATCCAGAATTATCAGACTGTTGAGCAACAATATCGCCAAAAGTACAAGCAACGCATGGAGAGGCAGTTCAAGATTGGTAGGTCGTTTCTCCGTCGAGATCGTCCTCCTGCTTACCGCCTTTTGACAGTTAAACCTGATGCTACACCCGAGGAAGTGAGAGCGGCCGTAAATGACGACAGTGGAGGACAGATATTCAGTCAAGCAGTGCGTACACACTTTGGGCTATCCGCCAGCAACAATGCCGCAGCCATAGTGACAACTGTTGTGCCGCTAGCTCATGAACTCCAACCGATATGGTGAATCTCGAGCAGCTTATCGCGAAGTGCAGGAGCGACACCAAGACATCAAACGTATCGAGCAAACGATAGCTGAGCTCGCACAGTTGTTCAATGATGTGAGTTCATAATATCGACTATTTTTCATAGCTCACACCGGCATTAGATGAGTGTGCTTGTTGAGCAGCAGGATGAAACCATAAACACTATCCAAGCTACGACAGAAGTGGTCGAAAAGGACACCGAGGCAGGGTATGTCCCCGTTAATCCTATAAACGCTACACAGTAGCTCATGCCTCGTTACAGTCTTGGACACACAGAGAAAGCTGTAGCGTCTGCTCGCTCCGCCCGCAAAAAGCGATGGATCTGCTTCATCCTGACGCTCGTCATCCTCGCCATCATTGCAATTGTTGTGGCTGTCATCATCACCAACAACCAGAAAAAGACTTAAAGCACTTGATGCATTCATCGCCCTCGTATGTGAGGCTCGTTATTTTTGATCTCCTTTAGTCTGGACTTCCCATCTCGGTTGCCTAAACATCACACTCCTTGCCCATAGTCTTGTTCGTCAAGTTCCGGATACCTCTCTTGTCATCCCGTACATAGCTTTACATTCTCTTTGCATCTTTATCATCTTTCTAATCGATCTAGTAACATGGTCGTATATATATTGGGTGCATGGACATCGGACACTACAACGATTCTTACGAATGTCATGCATGATGCAAGTCAATTGGTATCGATTGGTCAACAAAGTTGATATAGTCTCGTCTTTTAAAGGGTGCTTTACTTCCTGGGATGCAATGCATTAATGACTCGGAAACAGCCCCAAGCCAGAGAAGCGACAGTGAGATAGATCCCGACGCGAATCTCGAAGGGATTTTCCGTGAGGAAAGGGTATGGGACTGAGAGGGGGAAAACTCTCAGTGATCAGCAACATAAACCAGAGGGAAAGGCTTACACATCCCGTTGAATGTGGCACAATATTCCACGCAGCTTGCGTACCAAATCCCGTAAAGAAGGACAAGGAGAGGCGCACCATAGCGGGCTTGCTTCTTGGTATACTTCTGTTCGAAAAGCATAAAGTCTGCCACCATAGACATAAAAGGAACTGCGTGCAGTGATAAGTCAACCTCCAGGGGGATGCGGACGAGATTTGGGACGGCCGGTGCCGATGATGGTTCGTTCTCGAGAATTTCTTTTTGGAGTATCAAGTTTGGGAAGAAAAGCAGGAGCGACCAGTATACAATAGAGATCACTACGGTGAGCTGCAATAT